CCAGTTGCCTCATGGGAAAAAAGCACATTTGGGACTTCTTTATAGACTTCACATTCTCCAACTAGGTAGAGCTAGGAGCACCTCTCAGAAGATCTGCAATGAATGGGGGCATGTCGTTCCTACTTCTCCCTTTTCCATAATAACAGAGTAAGAGTTGAAAGGGACCTTGGAGGTCTTCTAGTCCAACCCCTGCTCAAGTAGGAGTCCCTATACCATGCCACACAAATGGCTGCCCAATCTCTTCTTAAAAATCCCCAGCGATGGAGCACCCACAGCTTTTGGAGGCAAGCCATTCCACTGTCAATTGTTTTCACTTTCAGGAAACTTCTCCTTAGTTCTAGGTTGGATCTCTCCTTGATAAGTTTCCATTCATTACTTCTTGTCCTGCCCTCAGGTGCCTGGGAGAATAGATCAAACCCTTCTTCTCTGTAACAACCCCTCAAGCACTGGAAAACTGCTATCATGTAATCCAGAGGCTTCCAACCTTTTGAGCACCAGAGACCAGTTCTGTGGTGAAAGGTTTTTCTGTGGACCAGAGAGTGCGTGGTTTTGTGTGCTGCCTGCATCCCATGGATGGGGCTTTGCTTGTTTGTGCGGACCAGTTGCTGGCATGCCACGGACCGGTACTGGTCCACAGACTGGGTTGGGGACCCCTGATGTAATCCACAGTCCTTCTCTTTGTTGACTAGATATACCTAGTTCCCACAACTATTTGTCATATGGTTTAGCCTCTAGAGCCTTTAGCATCTTTGTTGTGGTTCTCTGCACTCTTTCTGGAATCTCAACATCTTTTTAATTAAAACTGGATGGAGTATTCCAAGCATGATCTTGAAACTAACACTTCACGTGATCTTTAGACTATCCCTCTGTTGATGTAGCTGAGGATTGCATTGGCTTTTTTGGTATCTGCAGCACACTGTTGGCTCATAGTTAAATGATGTCCATTAGGACTCCTTCATCCCTCTCACTTACTGCAGTTGAACCAGGTACCACCTATTCTATAGTTGTGCATTAGAGTTTTCTTGCCTAATATAAAACCATACTTTTCTCAACACTGCATTGCATTGTGTGAGATAGGGCCCAATGTGTGCTATCCCGCTCATGCATACACACATACCCATACCTTGGGTCTAAGGAATCTTTATTAAGACTTCCAAGCTTGAATGGGTATTCCCCAGCGATTCCCTGTGCTGGCACCAGTTCAATCACAGTAATTTTCACAGGCTATTCAAATGAAGTCAACACTGGTCCTCAAGGCAAAGGCAGTGTCAAGGTTCTGACTGATGAACCCAACCAAGCAAACACCTTCAAGACTCTTCAGGCTCTTAATGCAAGGCTTTATTGAGTACACCGTTTTGGCACATATGAAAGTAAAACCAGCTCTGGCAGGACTCCTCCCCATCCCCTATAGTAAGAGCATTAATTTCTTTCTCCTCTCTCTGGATCAGATCATGCTGCCCAATCAATGGCTGCATTAACAGAGGGATAGAATCAAGATCATGTGAAGTGTTAATACCACTTTACAAGGCCTTGGTAAGGCCACACTTGGAATACTGCATCCAGTTTTGGTCACCACTATGTAAAAAGATGTTGAGACTCTAGAAAGAGTACAGAGAAGAGCAACAAAGATGATTAGGGGACTGGAGGCTAAAACATATAAGGAACGGTTGCTGGAATTGGGTATCTCTAGTTTAATGAAGAGAAGGATGAGGAGGGACATAATAGCAATGTTCCAATATCTCAGGGGTTACCACAAAGAAGAGGGAGTCAAGCTATTCTCCAAAGCACCTGAAGGCAAGACAAGAAGCAATGGATGGAAACTAACCAAAGAGAGAAGCAACCTAGAACTAAGGAGAAACTTAGTTTCCATTGTCCTTGGTTCCCACAGTCTGCTTTCTTAATCTTTGAAGTCTGCATTCCAAACCTCTGCCCTCCCCCTGAGTTTGTTGGCAAACTGAGAAGCAATATCTGTTGCACCAGCAAGACTGGACTTTGAAACTTGACAAGGAGATCCGGTCCTCCAGGCAAAGGCAACTTCCAAGACAAACGCAAGTCCACAGCTGAAGAGACACGATCCCAAGTTCAAGGCAAGAAAACACAGCAAAGAAACAAACACATTGTCCCCAACGTTGTCTCCATCTGTCTGCTGTGCTAAATAGCCAGCTTCTGGTGCAGCCCATCAAGGCTACCTCCTCACGAGTAATTGAGCTGACCTTCACTGTTCCTGCCTTTTCTCTGCCTTACATGTTCTTGGATCAGGTGCAGAAGGCAGTTCCTCTTCCTGACCAGCTGCAGCTCTGCTTCAACCAAATCATTCTCAAATGGCTACTCAGAGCCACTGACCAACTCTCCTCCTGACGTGCCTGGAACTGGTTCATCCTCCTCTGAGCTGACATCTGGAGAGGTATCTAGGGAAGCGTCTGGGGGAAGTCATCATACGGTGTTCAAGTCTATCATGATCTTCTGAATCTTGAGCCTATCTTCCAAAGTGCTGGCTATTCTCCCCAGCTTGCTGTTGTCTGCACATTTGATGAGTTCCCCTTCTATCCCTTCATCTAAATCATTTATGAAGATGTTGAAGATACTGGACCTTAAACAGAACCTTGGGGTATCTCACTGCTTACTTCCCTCCAGGCAATTGAAGTTCTATTGAGGACTATACATTAATGCAGTTGGTCAGACAATTACGAATCCATCTTGTGGTGATGCTGTCTAGCCCACATTTTTTTATCTTATCAAGAAGTAGGCTGTGGTCTATTTTGTCAAATGCCTTACTGAAGTCCAAGTATACTATGTCCACCACATTTTGCTGGTCTACTGATTTAGTCACTTTTGTCAAAGAATGCAGTAAGGTTTGTCTGGCATGATCTGTTTTTGACAAACCCGTGTTGGCTTCTATAATAGCTTTGCTTGTTTCAGTGTATTCGCAGATCCATTGTTTGATTATCTTTTCCAGGATCTTCCTAGATATTGATGTCAGGCTGATTGGTATGTAGTTTCCTGGATCCGTGTTTTTTCCCCCTTTTTTGAAGATGGAATCACATCAGCTCTTTCCCAATCCCCTGGTAGTTCCCCAGTGATGACTGGGCCTAGTTCACTTCAATATGGCACCAATATGACTCTAACACAACTCATATATGGCTTCTTCACTGACTATAGAAGCATTATTGTAAAAAAAATACAGGCATCTTTTGCCTGCAATTACATCTTTAATCCCAATTGATACATTACATACTTCATCTGAAAAATTTACATTATGCCAGGATTTCACTCTCAAAATACAAACTAAAACTGTTAACCCAAGCTTCCTTTGCAACTGTATGATCCACAAATCATCACATTCCAAATATTGAAGAATCAGCCTGATGATTTAAACAGGACATTTTTTATATACATGCAAACTATGCAATGCCATTCTTAATTATGATGCACATAGTTACATGTAACTCACATAATTGTTTAAGTAGAAGAACACAGCTAATACTTAGCACCGACACATTTATTCGTTTAGAATTATTTATATCCCATTTTTCAACTTGAAAACTTTTTTAGTACAATTTATCAATGAAATACTGATATTTGGCACTGATCCTATCAGAAAGTAAGTAAGATCACCTGCATTTAGAAATCTGGAGATGTGAACTTCCACCAATCCCCAGCAAAGGTTTGTGACGATGGCATCATCACAAGAGTTTTATAATTATGGCACCGTGGAAATATGACTATTACTACCCTACGACTACATACATGCAGAAACTCAAAGAAATGTTCTTTTTTACATGGACTTTGTTTTTACAAAGAACTATATCTGTATTGCAAAACAGGAAGTGGGAGGGTTAGAGTTAAAAACATATTGAAACTTACATTTCAACATATATTCCAACAATATAAAGTGTGTAGCTTTTGCTTTAACCCTCTCATTTTACAGTATATATATATATATTCAAGAAGATAATCAAACACTAGGATAAAATACAAACAAAACTGCTTTAATATACTTAGCTTTCGTCGGCTAACTGCCAACGTCATCAGAGTAAAATGCCGGTGTTTTGGGAGCTTGCTTATAAAGCCGGCCGTTTTTGCGCTCTGCTCATGGAGCGAGTTACCGGTCTGCCCGCCCCAATTGGCCGTATTGTTTCTAGCTGTCCCGCATCAGTCCGTGTTTTCTTAAACTCAGGGATCATTTCCTCCCTTACGGTTGCTCTCCTTGTCCGCCTGGTTCGTGTCCGAGTGCCTGTTGTTGTGGGTTGGTTCCCTAACGCCTCCTGTCCTATGGCCACCCCTCCTTTTAGCTGTGCCCTAGCGTAATTAAGGACATATATATATACATACACACATATACATGTATATATATACATATATACATACATACATATATATATATATATATGCGATATTAATATTTACCTATTACATTCAAGGTTAGCGTGACATTAGATGTTCCAAAAGCATTGGTTGCTTGGCATGTGAAGGCTCCAGAATCATTAACTCCCACTGAACGGATGCTCAGCGTTAATTTTTGTTCGTATTCATAATCACGCACATTCTTGCTTTTGCTGGAAAGATTCTGTCGGCAAGGGAGAGGAAAAATTACCATCTAAGATACAGTGTACATAGCATCATTCTCAAATAAATTAAAAATAGATGTAATTATAACTTCACCATATTAATATTCATAACTTAAAACTTGAATAATAAGACATCAAGACAAACCTGTCACTGGAACCTCTCCATAGAAGACATCTATAGTCTTAAAGCTGTCTTTTTTGGAGAGCGGGGTGGGGGGTGGGGGGAGAAAAATATGAAGAAACCTCCTTAGGATTGTTCTTACTCTGCTTGCTTTGCTCTATATTTTGTATTTTTGGTATATGTGATGGTCTCTTGAGGTAACAAACCCAGAAGGAAATGTGTCCTAAAAACATTCACTATCGCGAAGTGCTTTCCAAATAAAGTTTGCAACATGGCAGTCCTCATAAGCCGAGGGTGTGTGTGTGTGTGTGTGTATGACTGTGTTTTAAAACTGGTATGTGAGCTTCTTATAATTGGGAATAAGTGGTATGAGAGAAGAACAGAGAAAGTTCAGTAGCTTCTACAGCAGTGTTTCTCAACCTTGACAATTTTAAGGCATGTGGACTTCAACTCCCAGAATTCCACAGCCAGCATTGCTGGCTGTGGAATTCTGGGAGTTGAAGTCCACATGCCTTAAAATTGTCAATGTTGAGAAACACTGTTCTACAGTGTTCCTGAGGTAACACTGAAGGAATTTCAGACTCAAAGGGATTCCTGATCAAGAAAACACAGCTGTCAAACAACTGTGATTTTTTTTTGTTTGGTTTGTGAAGTTAGCATGGACCAATGACCCCTGCTGTGGGGGTAACAAAAGAAGAATGTTCTATTCAAGGAAGGAAAGATCCTATTGAGTTGCAATATCTATTTACAAACTAAGCATTTGACTTCCCAACTGCGTTTAACAGGGAATCTGAGTGTTACCAATACAGTACTGAACATAATGCTTTTTTTTTTACACAATGCAAATTTCAACTCTATCCAAATATTATGATAGCTTTTTATTAACATGTGTTAAAGCAAATTTATTAACATGTGTTAAAGCAAGTACTTCCACTACTGAAAATTGGTTTTCGAATGTAATATTTAAAACGATATTGGAACTGTTTCAGAACTCCTTAAGATGTAGGCCCTGTGTGGACCACATACGTCAGGGGTCTTCAAACTTGGCCCTTTTATGACTTATGGACTTCAACTCCCAGAATTCCTCAGCCAGGCACGCTGGCTGAGGAATTCTGGGAGTTGAAGTCCACAAGTCATAAAAGGGCCAGGTTTGAAGACCCCTGACATACGTTATATGTCTGCTTTACTTCAGAATGGATGAATTAGGATCAGTCAATAAATAAGCACTTAAAAGACAGGAATTATGCCAGCAGCAGTGGATTAGCAGAGAATGGCCGGTAGCACTCTTGGGACGTATTATCCAAATTGTACTTTCTTGAGACTGCATCTCCACCATTGCCACACTGCACCCGTCTTCCTATTTACATGAGCTGCTGATTATATAGTTTAATCACTGCCATTAACAGTTGCCAATTAAGACTGAAATGGCTGTACTTAGCAAGGTTAGCTGGACTCTTTGGGGAACTTTTCCTATATAGTGAAATATAACTATCTACACATTTTTAAGCTATATAGGGCAACTCTGGGCAACTTACAATATAATGAACAGCTTAAAGGTGTTTAAAAAAACAATTAAAATTAGAATGAAAAAAACTGAAGGTTAACAATCAAGTTGATGGGCAGGGTGTGAGAGCTTTCTCTGCCCTGTCTCTACCCTGTCAGTGACCACCAATGTACCAGGGCCATCTCAGGGCCCCAAACCAAGCAGGAGAACCAAGTTTTTAGATTTTTACGGAAGCCAGGAATACGGGGGCACGTCGCAACCTCTGATGGGAGAATATTCCGTTCCAGAAGTTGTGGTTAAAATTTAATAGCAGGAATGGTTGCTATTAAAAGTATTTATTTAGAAGTGTGCCTTTTATGGGTGCCATATTGGAACTGAACTTCTTATATATAATTAATCTTAGCCAAAAGGCCAAGCAGCCTTATACCCTTTTGAGCCAACTCCAACTTGCCCCATGCTTGGCTTAGATCACCGAAACTTTTCATTAAGAACTAGAAACATGCGTATATAGACACACCATGTTTCAGTTGCCCACCACAAGATTGTTTCACATATCCAACAATCCAGAACAGCTTGCGTTCGTTTCTCCTGTTTCTCAACTCTCACTTCCATACAACAACTGGACAGAATGCCCCCTATTATTTTCATTTAATTTGACATTCATCCCTTGAAACTAACCACATCCTTGCAAGAATTGATCTCTTTGCTCTACTTTCCTGTCATTTATCATTTGGGTTCACAACATGACATTCATGTACATTCACACCCCCACCAAGACACCTCTAATGTACTTCAAACATTCCTTATCCATAAATACAGAACACGGTGTAGGGGACATGGAATACCCTAGTCCAGTGATGGCGAACCTTTTAGAGACCGAGTGCCCAAACTGCAACCCAAAACCCACTTATGTATTGTTGGGTGCCGGGTGGGTGTGGCCCACTGGGTGGGCGTGGCTGCGATGGTAACGGCAGACTGGGTGGGACTAAAAAGTTCAATCAATCAATTCCAACTTTGAAGATCTTTTTTTTCCCCGCGAGAAGTTGAAATTGATTGATTGATTGAACCTTTTTTTTTTGTACACGGCGGCGGAGGCCTAAAGCAAAAAGGTTTTATAAAACCGAGCTAAAGGCCCAGAACTGGGGTAATGGCGCGCGTGCCCACAGAGAGGGCTCTGCGTGCCACCTGTGGCACGTGTGCCATAGGTTCACCACCACGGCCCTAGTCTTACACCACAATCCCTATTGAACCATTCACTAAGCAGGCCATTTATTTTTAATCATGCTTTACTTCCACTATATGTGGTCTCTTATCCCATTCAGTATTCAGCATTCAGCATTCAACTCTTTCTTTGTACAAAACATTCCATACTTTGCTAACTATATTGTATACTTTCTGTAACACATGCACAGTAAACTTCCTTGCTCATATTCATGCACTTCCCAATGAACTGGGGATGAGCAAAATTTTGTTTTCTATACCACACAATTTGAGAATAGCATTCTATATTATGCTCAAATGGTGCTCATTTTCATTTCTTGTACTCTTTCAATCACAATTCTCTCAAATGCTGTCCCGGGAACACTTAGGAAAGTTATTCTTTCTTAGGTGGCCCAGTCCAGTGACTTGGGTGGCATAGGCAGCCCAGCCCAATTTTTTTCTCTCTTTTTATGATCTCGTAATCCCCTGCATAGGGATGAGTTGGGGTAATGGAATGGAGCTGAGCGTTTGCTGGCCAGATGCCCTTCCCGACACCTATGCAGAGGTCACAGTAGATATTTTCTCTTTGCGCCCAGAGAGAGAAATATCTGCCACTACCTAGGATCAAACTCACAGCCTCCTGATTGTGAGGCGAGAGCCCCACGTCTAGGCCACCACACCACTCTCGGAGTAGAACTTTAACAATAATAATAATCAGGGCTTTTTTTCTCATAGAATGCCCAGAACGGAGTTCCGGCACCTTTTTTGGATGGAACCTTGTAGGGTAGGCAAGGCGGGTTGTATGACGTGTGTGAGTTCTGTCACCTTTTTTTTTCTTTTTTTTTTTATAAAAATGCAGATAATAATAATAATAAATAAAAAAAATAAAAAGTGCTGCCTCTGTTTTTGAATCCATTCTTGTTATCCTTTAACACAGGGAAACAAAAACATTCTTCCAATCACCAGGCACAGCTACAATCTTCACATGCATTAAACATGTTGACAGCAACTCCACATAAACTACACCCAGTTTTAACACTTCTCCAGTTGTATCAACTCTACCTGCACTCTTACTATTTTTCAACATTCTCGCAGTATTTAGGACAGGATTTTTATTGTTTTGTTTTTTCTTGAATGCTAACATTTGTAGTGTTTGCTACAGTTCTATTCTTTGACATTCAATATCACTGGCATTACATAAAAATTTCAAACCTATTTTTTCCCAGCAATTCATTTGTTTCATTCAAAATCATTTTGAGTATTTAAAAATAAACTTATATATTTCATTCCACTTAGTATGTCATGGATTCCTGCTTCCAAAACAGTTATTAATTTCCATCAAAGCTTTTTTTTTTTTTTGCATTTTTTCTGTCTCTTTTAATTTTGACTATTCCTTGCTTTCTTGAATTACATTCTTTGTGACTACCTTTGAGATCTGTATACACATATTCTCTGCTCATCGTTTATTGCAGCAATTGTTTTCTTATATGCATCCCTTTCTCATCCATATCCTCTTTCATTTCCTCATTGTACCAAAACTTTTTTCAATTTCTTACTTCCCATTATCTTATCTTCATGCAGCTGTTCTACTTTCACTTCTATTCAAGATTTGTCAGTGCTATTATTCCAACAGTGATGCCTTGCGTGAATATTACTTTATCAAAGCTGATATATACATCTCAGACATGTTTTTAAGTTATTTTTTAGAAAGACTATTCTTTCAAGTACATTGGTACTTATTAGGTATAATAAACTCACCGCATTGCCTTGAAAAATCCAATTAGCTTGCAAAGAACTATCTATATCCCTGATTGTACATGTAACTTCAAATTCTTCACCTTCTTTGAGAAGTTGGTTTGTTTTGGATAAGGTGATGGATGGTAAGGATTTGTGAACTAAAAAACAATCCAGATGCACATTGTTGTCATTATTTGCAAAACCGTCACAAAAAGGGAGTTGGAATCGACAGTTCTTAATCTTCCAATAAAGTATCAGATTTGCTAAAGATATTTTAAATATCGTGACATATCACAGTTGTACATTAATCCAAATGAAAATGTAAAAACATTTATAGGCACTACCTAACAAACACAGATAATAAGCCTGCCCTAGTATTTAATCTTGCAAAAAGACTGATGGTGAATTAGAAAACTCTTCTAATACCATTTTATATGGCTACTATTCACAGTCTTGAATCCACCGATGGGATCGGAGAATACCTATTAGTGTGAAATATTTTCCTAATTATCTTACCTTTAAATACAGGCAGTCCTTGACTTACAACCATAATGGAGTCCAAAATTTCTGTAGACATTTGTTAACTGATTTTTCCTCCCCAATTTATCATCTTTCTTGCCACAGTTGTTAATCACCACAGCTGTTAATTAGCAACACGGTTGTTAAGTGAATCTGGCTTCCCCATTGACTTTGCTTGTTGCAAAAGGGGATCACATGACTCCTGGTCACTGCAACCATCATAAATATGAGTCAGTGGCCAAGCATCTGAATTCTGATCATGTGACCATGGGGATGCTGCAACGGTTGTGTGAAAAATGGCCATAACCTCGTTGTAAACTCGAGTGATCACTAAACCAACCGTCAAGTCAGGACTGCCTGTAAACTAGATACACACTGTTTGGAAAGCTGTACAAGAAAAGGGATTATACACAATGGTACGACCATAACAGATATTTGAGTTCAATTGAATGTATTTTTACCTGGTCTCACCACAAGCGTTATATCTTTCGATCTTTTTTCAACTCCATCTTGTTGTGCCACACACCGGTAACAACCTAGAAATGATCTCTGTACATTTTTTATGGTGATTCCCTTCTGAGGATCAGGAACTAATGTCATATGCTCAGGCAGAGATTTGTAATGGCATCTTTTCAAAGTGAAATTCGAAACATCTGGATCTGTCACTGGGCACACAATAAGAGCATCGCTGTCTTCCATTTCAAGTATTGTGGGCGTGTGAAAGAACAGAACCGTTGGATCTGTAATAAAAATT